ATCACCTTACAGGAAGCAAGAACAATATGTCTCTGTTGTTCTCGAGAACAGCCCGTGTTTGTCAAGTGCAGAAGGAAGTCATGGACTCAAAGGAGACGGAAGAAGCATGCTATTCCACTTAGCATTACTGACTCGAAAGGTTTGCTTCGTTATTAGCATCATGCCTATTCCAAATACAAGTTAGTTCTACTGAYTTGGCTGTGAGTGAGGTTGGGTGCTAAACTGGGAAAAAAATCAAAAYGCTGTTGAATAGCAAAAACAAATTGCTGATGTTTTCATAAAGYGAAAACATATCTTTCAATCTGTTAACTCTCTGAAGCAAGCAATCAGGCATTTAGGAGCTCTGGTGTTTTCATGTTTGATTAGGAGACAATTCCRAAGATTTTTTTAAAAAACTGAAATAACAGTCCATTTATTATTAGAAGTACTCTTACCTTGTTCACTTGTTTGTCAAGGGCTGTGAAATTAACATCTTTAACACCAGATGGTTTGTATATAATCACGATTCAGTACCATCCTGTTCCAGCTCTGTGTTTTTCCGAGACAAAACAGACAAAAACTTGTAACAAGCAATTGGCTGTAGACTTGTTGAAATAATGACTCTCTCTTAATTATGTATTTCTACAGCTATAAATAATTTTCTTCTGGTTTTAACCATAATTGTGATTTTAACATCCAAGACTTTGCCAATTTTATTACTTGCAAATATAAGTGCAATTTTTGATGAGTTACAAAGAGCACATGACAAATGTCATAGGCTTGATTTAGCTGATACAAGTAGTGTAAACAAGATSCAAGACGAAAAAAGACAATTCCATTGCATCCTGATTTATAGAGATTAAATTTAAAACATAACTGTTCAAATGATATTTTTCATGTATTGTGGCTGTCAGTGTCCAGTAGGGGGAGAAAAAATATTTTAGACTAACATGCATTTTGAATTTTGTTTATGGTAATGTGGATGTAATTCACAGAATAAACTGAAATCTGTCTCCACAAATACTGGGTTTAAAATGGATGTTAACTTCCATTCATCATTTAAGGTGCTCTTGTTTAACTAYCGGATAATATATAGGCATGAGAGATCAGAGATTCAAATGCAAATTCTTCACTGATAAACAGGAAAAATAAGTTTTCAGGAGACCAGCATGCTTCAATTATGAATGTTTAAAAAAATCCTAAAGTATTAAAAGGAATTTGCAGATGTAAAATTTTGAATGAGACAATAAAAGTAGATAAGTTCATGTAATTTTTGTAAGCCGTTGGTCAGAACTCTCTCAAGCAGTAGAAACAGTTTAACTGAAATATAACACCTTGTATAAAAACACCTTGTTTCTAAAAGCTATCCTAAAAAGTTAGATTATGTGTATCACTGTAGACAATGAAAAGTAGTTTTTAAGTGCAAGAGAGAAGGCAGTATTTTAAGCCAGCTGGAGTCCTTAAGAAAGGATACACTTATGATCACACTTAACATTTAAAACAATATTTAAGTAGAAAAGGGCAGGTAAATAGAGGCTGGTGGCCATTGTGTAGGGATGCAGCTGATCATGGAATAGTTATAATATGGGGAATCTGCTCACCAAATTATAGCATGGTGCGCATGGGTGGCAGCCAGCAAAACCTGACCAAACAATGTGGATGCATTGTCAGGGATCAATATTTCACCAGTCAGGACAGTCCCTGTAGCCCTTTTCTCGTGAGCWTAGTGAAGATTGTGTTTTATTTTTTTAAACTTCCAGAAAAGCCTCCATGCTAGCTGCTTCTTCCTTCCAAATGCCATAACCCTCAGTTTTGCCATTTGAGGGGAACCTTTTCCCTTTGCATTCATTCCTGTAACCCCGTTGCTTACTTTTATTTGTTTAAAGCTGCAACACATTCCGCTTTATGGGGATTTCAGCTGGAAATATCTCTATGTTTCTATTAGTCAGTAAGCATTTGCTTCTAGAAGAAAATCTTGATGGCATGGAGCCTGGTGAATAGTTCAATAGTTAAAAGACAGACAAAAATTAACTGCAGTCCTTGAATATTTTCAGCATTTTAATCTACCTGCCCTTGCACATGAGGAAATAGCTCACATTCTACTTTCTCTGGTAGAAAAGAGCTTTTTATAACTTGTTCAAACACTTGCACTGGAGCCTTTCTGATTATGGTTTCTGCTGACCAGCAAGGGTTTTGGAAGGATTTGTGCAYACAGCAGTGATGGTTACCAGCTCAACTCACACCTACGCTAGATGTCAGCTAGGATAGGAAATAAGGCAYACGTATTTGTAACAGAGCAGAGCTCTTGGGATTGAAAGGGTGGAGATATTTCAGTAAGTATTTTAACTATCTATTCTGATGCTAACGAGGGGTATGGCTGCGAAGAGAAGTGACAGCTGCATAAACACAGCCTAAAACTACATAGTAAGCATCTTTCCTTTTTTTAATTTAAATTATGTTGTGTTAGGAAAATAACCATTTCAGTGCACTCGGGGATTTTCTCCCTTCAACTGAGGGCTCTCGTTTTTTGCATGGATCGTGGCTGCCATCTACTGCTGCACGCAGGGTTCTGTTTGGAAGAATCCGTCTGATTCTTCCCCTGAMCTCTGCACTGGTGAGGCCACACCTCGAGTCCTGCGTCCAGCTCTAGGCCCCTCAATTCAGGAAAGACATTGAGGGGCTGGAGCAAGTCCAGAGAAGGACAACAAAGGTGGTGAAGCCTCTGAAACACAGSTCTGACGAGGAGCAGCTGAAGGAGCTGGGGGTGTTTAGCCTGGAGATGAGGAGGCTCAAAGGTGACCTTATTGATCTCTACAACTCCCTGAAAGGAGGGTGTAGCCAGGTGGGGGTCAGCCTCTTCTCCCAGGTGACTATTGACAGTGGATGAGCAGAAATGGCCTCAAGCTGAGCTAGGGGATGTCTAGGTTGGACATCAGGAGGAATTTCTTCACAGAAAGGGTGACATTAGAATGGGCTTCCTGGGTAGGTGGTAGTRTCACCATGCTTGAATATGTGTAAGGAGAGACTGGACGTAGCACTGAGTGCTGCGGTCTAGTTGACTTGGTGGTGTTCAGTTATAGATTGGACTTGATGATCTCAGAGGTCTTTTCCAATTTAATTAATTCTGTGATTTGGTGTTGATTGGAAGGAGTTGGCTGGTAGACCATTTAGTTTCAACAGCTGCATATAAAATGCTACTATGATTGGTGGTCCTTTATGTTTCTTGAATTTACTCAGCTGCCCAGAGGCTGAGGAAGAAATAGAGTCATATTTAGCAACTTTGGTCTTTGGGCCCTTCTCTCTTTTCCTGTAAAATAGCTTTTATTCCTTTAGTTGTTATTCTCTCTGCCTTGAAACCATCCATATTTAAATACTTTCACTGTTTGTACTATTCTGCTTTCTACTTCTAAGAGTCTTCAAAACCTGAATTCACAAGTTTGTCTGTGAAAGAAATGTTYGAGAACACATCCTTCTCTTGGGAATTCCTTGTAACCTTTTATCCACTTCTTGATCTTTATGTCTGCAAAAATTCTTTTAATCGTGTCTTTAAAACAAAGCTGGGCCACTGATAAGAACTGGTTCCTGTTTGCATAACCTCCTTGTGGAATTTCAGTCATCACGAAAGATCAACCAGCTTTGAAAAAATGCACTTGATGAAATCTTTCCAATTCAGTGATAAATTCTCCATAACTGGACTTTACACCATCAAGCACCTGACTCCCAAACACTATGCAAATGGCAGTGTTGACATTTACTTACTGTACCACTGTGGTGGCCTTGTGTCTTTTCAAGCATTGTTAYTGACATGCCAGTCACAAAGAGCGATTATTTGAAAAACACTTGCTCATAAAACTTGTAACTTGCATTTTAAAAAGATAAATTGATGCAAAAAGATTCCACAGAAGCTAAAATTGGTTGAATTTGGCCTGGAGCAGCCAATTCTGTAAGGTACTCTTTTGCCCCAGTAAAACATCTGATCTCAAATGATGTCAATAAACGAAGCCTATAAATTGCCACTTATGARGCTTTGGGAGCTGCTGTCATAATCCAAAGGATACATTAAATTGAGCTTCACTTGCACTGAATTGGAACTGATTTTATTCTAAAATCCTGGAGGTATTTGATAAACACATTTGTTTTTATTTTTTACTACAAGATTGAAGAATGAGTAGAACTGCCTAATTCTGAATCTGAGTGCCAGTTTAAGGAAATAGACATTTTTGTGGCTTTACAATGGATTGTAGTCAAGGTTTAGTTTTAAGTATAAGACCAGGTAGCAGGAGTATGAAACCATGGTCCCAGTTCCATGAGRTAACTGTGATTAAATAATCTCATTTGCCTTTGCTGTAACTTCTGAAAGTGTCAAATGATACTTTTTCATTTTCCTCTTTAAACACATAGATGGGTAATTGTGATTAATTAGGGTAGTCTGTGTCCCACTGGAATAATYTCTGTGTCTGCCTTTTAAGGGATATCGATATAGATCTAGATAGGATATTATATGGCAAAACCTGCAGTGCTGGTCTACTGAAATAYTTAATTTTCTAAGCCTGAACACCCCCTCCCCACCTCTTCCTTTCAAAGGCAAAATTTCCACTGACTTAAACAGAAGTTGTCACACGTTTAAGAAGTTTATTCACAAAAGAACCTCAATAAATCACAATTGCATAATGAGAAGAATGAGAAGATATGCAGTTCTATTCAAGAAATGAAGACAATGACAAGCTTAGAAGGTCTTTTTAAAAGGAAAAATGAAAGCTAATGTCCATACTTATGATTGAAACATGTCATGTTCTCAAGCTGATGTACACTAAACAAGCTGATCTATTTCCTACGTGGCGTATAAAAGAGCGGATTGTCTCTGARATCAGGAAGCGATTCCTCCTGCGCCGAAGGTGATTTTGAGGACTCGCGTATCTCGAGCGGGCACCGGCAGCGCCCGGAGCCGCCCCCTGCCATCGCCAAAGATGGCGGCTCCGGCACCGCCCGGCGGGTGGGCGCTTCCGCCGGGGCTGGGGGCGCGGCGGCACCTCCGCGGCTTCTCCGCGGCTCCTCCGCGGCTCGGCGGAGGCCCGGGCGGGGGCCATGGGCACGACGGCGGGCGCGGGCGCCCTGCGGCTGCCCGGGCTGCACGGGTACGCGGTGGAGTTCTCGCCATACTGCCCGGGGCGTGCGGCCTGCGCCGCCGCGCAGTACTACGGCATGGCAGGTGCGGGGGGCGGCGCGGCGGGGGTGACCGGGAACGCGGCTCCTCACGGGAGGAGGAGGAGGCTGGAAACGTGGGTGTGCGGAAGGACRGACGGCGTCTGCCGAAGCGTTTGGGGACGACTTCCCTTTCTGCTGCGTTTGTTTTGCCGTGGGACAGCGCCTGTGCCCCGCGGCCGGGCTGGGGGTGGCGCGGAGCTGCCCCCGCCGGGATGTGCCGCTTCCCAAGTACCAAACCCGCTGTGCCGAGTGCTTCTCAACGCCCTCGCGGAGGCGCGCTCATGTGACAGGGTCGAGAATAAATATGGTAGTAAAGACATACACAGTGTGAATAAAATATCAAAGTAACTTTCTGCGGCGACAGGACCCGAGGGAATGGCCCGAAGTTGTGTCTGGGGAGGTTTAGGTTGGRTATTAAGAAACGGATCTTCACCCACAGGGTGGTTGGGCACYGGAACAGGCTCCCCAGGGARGTGCTCACARCACCGAGCCTGACGGAGCTCAAGAAGGGTTTGGACGATACTCTTGGGCACAGGGTGCGACTCTTGGGGATGGTGCTGTGCAGGGCCGGGAGTTGGATTCGATCCTGATGGGTCCCTTCYAGCTCAGCTTGTTCTGTGATTCTGTGGCTTCAGCCGTTCCTGTCTCAGCCCCAGAGTGTCCAGGCAGGCCCTGGTGACCCTGTGGTCCCTTGAAAGAGCCAAGCTGCGCGTTCCTCAATACTGGCAGTATTTTATTTCCAGTGCAAGTATTGCTCTCTAAAACATTAATTTGAAACCAAAAATTACATGTAGAATTACTTTGACAATATCCCTGTCAGATAAGAAAGTAGAACCCATGTGTATTTTATCAGAACTGAATGATTTGTTTAATTTCTGGTGAGCTTCAGTGCTTGTATTACTATATTCAGGAAGAGGGGAAAAAAGTGTTCTGTCTGCCGTGTAATCAAAATGACAAAAAGGAGCCCTGCGTTGGTATGTTTGTCACATGAGGCACATGGGGAAAATGCACTTTTATGCTCTATAAGCAAGTCTTTTTCAACTTCACCTACAGATATACTGGAGAAAAAACAAACAAACAAACAAAAAAAAACCAAAAAAAAAAACCAAAAAAACAAAAACAACACAAAATCAAACCAGAACAATCTGATGTAAGCGAATTACTGTTTCAGAGAACAGGAGACCACAAGACATTTAATTATGCAAGTAATGGTTTGGCCTTTTAAAGTTCAGTTGCCCTTTGTGTTTACATGCTGGAGCTATCTTAGTTTCCTTTGGCATTGGGGAGCTAGTTGTGATGTTGTGTTATTTTACTGTTTTAGGTTGTGGAACTCTGGCAGTGCTGGAACAAAATGAAGCTGGGATTGTTCTGCTCAGGAGGTAACAGGTTTASCTTTTATTTTTGTAAGTGAAAAACTTACTGTGTACATGGCACAAGTGAAATATTTTAGGTTGTTGTTAATGATACTGAGTACTTTTCCTATGACAGAATATCTGCTGAATACAGGTCTTWGTATTTACATACAATTAATGCATTTGTATTTACGTGCAGTACAACAGATGTTTACATTGCATTGATTTTATTTTGGGAAGTAATCTGGCCTGCACCATTTAACCATTTTATAGAAAACTGACAATGTCAGTTAAGAGCAGCTTCTCTGTCCTGTCCTAAAATTATAAGTTCTAGCTTTTTTGGAGCAGTGCCTTGACACCTAGATTTATGTCCTTATGATTGACTTATGCTGGAAATAGAACAGGAAGGTACATCAAGTCATGGAAGTCCTTCTTAGAAGATACATYTTTCTAAGAGTTTGAGAGGAGTTTGATTTTGTTGTGGATGGAAGGAGGAGAAAGGTTAGAAAGGAGGTGATTTAATACTTGACCATTATTATCCTAAAATATTTTGAGGAAAGTCTTGAAACAGCAATTGTTTAAGAGGGCTGACATAGAAATGCTTAAAAATAGGTAATCATATTCAGATAAACGGTTTTTCATTCACAATTATAAAACAAGATGCTTTTGAAGATGTTCAACACTCTGTTACTGCAGCTGAGTGCTCTTGTTTAGTACTGTTCATTTTTCTTTCCAGGGAATCCACTTATTTTGTGGTAGAAAGTCCTCTTAAGTTCGTGATCCACAGACTGTGTTGTTTTCTCTATCAAAGTGTTCCATGTGCATGCCCTTCCCTTATCATTACAGCAGAGTCCCTTGACCTTTGACCTAAGCTTAGGTGAAGCTTCAGTGAAAAGTATCAGATAATACTACAGTCATTGATAATTGTCTCAGAGTAACTAATATATGGTATCAGATTCCTTGTGGTGAATTGTTGGTGTGGTGAAATCCTTTTCAAAGAAGTGTAGAGATCTTCAGTAAATTCATGATTGCGTTTCTGTTGGATTTTCATTGTGACTTAGATTTGTAATCGTGTTGTAAATTGGATAGGGCTCTCCCAACAGAGACTTTTTTCTTCCTTTACCACAGTTGTTAGACACAAAGTGCTCTTACATCCTGGAGAAACCGTAGATCAGACTGAGGCGTGTTGTACCTCTGTCTTAGTTTGCGTGGCAAGTTTAAGACTGAACATTTTCTGTGTGGAAGGTCCTTGGCTTGTTCATGCTTTAACTTATCTATTCTGGCATACAGTTGTAGAAATTTGCATTATAACAAGTTAATTGTGAGGATGTTCACTTGAAACTCAAATACATAAAGATTGGTAAAAAAGATGATTAAAGAAATATTTTCTTTGCATRTAACTAGTCAAAACTCACAAATATCTTCATTTTTTCCATTTTAGTTTTGACTGGAATGATGGTCTGTTTGATGTGACCTGGAGTGAGAATAATGAAAATGTGTTGATCACTTGTAGTGGAGATGGATCTCTGCAAATCTGGGATATGGCTAAAACCAAAGGTCCGCTGCAAGTGTATAAAGAGCACACTCTGGAGGTAAATCAGGCAAACTTAAAAAATTTAATGGATGATCTTACATTTGAATAATTAAAAGTTTTATTTGTGGTTTTATAACCAAAAGCAGCATTTTGTTTTCTGTCTACTTTTTTCTGTTTATTTTTTTGGATTTGTGGTTTGAATTAGTAACTTGAATATAAAGTGATTTTACATATTCTTGTGCATGTTATACACTGTGGTAGGTACTGCTTAATTACACCAATCTAATACATTCAGAACTAGCATTTGTGGTTCCTTATAGGCTAAGTAATCATTGTGATGCATGAAATTGCAGCAGTCATGCTGTGATTTTTAGAGAGTCTTATTGGATAGGACTAAATCAGACAGTTGATGTATCAGTCTTATTCTTGAGGTTATAGAGTGATACACATTATGCAGACTTGGTTTGCACTCACATCTGCTCATCCTTTTCCCTCCTAGCATCTGTGAGATCCTACTCAATTAACAGTAGTCAAATGTTGGGACAGTATGTGTGTTTCTTCAGCCTTGTTTTGATACTGCTGCCTTTCATTTTCTTAAAATCTCAGTTTCTTTATGCAGTGCTGTGTGGGTGGAGAAGAATGTTATATTCAGGTTTATAACTGTATTTGCATAGTTTTAAGGATATTTATACTRTAGTACATATATTTTTCCTTAAGTGATTTTCCTTCCTGTTTTTAAAGCTTTTCTTCTAATGCTCCACTCTCCTGTGTCAAGTCCTTGAGCTTTAGAGCAATCCGTTTTAGCCTGGACTTTTGATGCTTTATCTGAATTACATCAATCTCAATAAAATAAACTAGTAGATATGTAGCTAAAAAAAAGATGGAGGAAATTCAATTTTGTTCCCAAAACCCTCAAGTTTTTTTCAGATATGAAGCACAAAAGCTMAAAGCTGAGTGACTGCAGTTACACGAGAGTGCAGCTTCTGTACCTCCTTTCTTTGTTGTTTCTCTACTTTGGTTTAATACATATACTGTGCTAACTGAGACTTTTGAGATAGGAATTTGTAGTTGTGATCAGGATTTTATGATGGTGTTCAAAGGCTGATAGTAGTTACAGAAAGAGATAGGTGAACCATAGTACCAATTTTTTTTTTGTTTGTTTGTTTCTGTCATTTTCTCATTGAAATTCTGACAATAAATTAAATTTGGTTCTGCTACACCATCTGTTGTTTGTGAAATAAACATTTCTGTGTCCATGTCTTAGTTGAGCAGGTAGCATGGAGAAGTGGACCTATTCAACCATGCTTAAAGACAGTCTAGGAAACATGGACTGAGTGTTTATTATGAGATATGAATAGTTCGTACTGATTCTTTATAAACTAGTTTTAAGGGGATCTCAGAAGGAATTTACCTAGTAGCTTGTGGTAAACACTGGCAGACTGTTCTCACTACCTTTCTGATCCTTAATCCCTGACATTTTTAATGCCAATTTTGTCACTGCATTTTATATTATTTCTAATGCAAGATTGACACAGATCTGTTTCTTTTTTTTCTAAATGAGATCGTTGTCCCTCCTCAAAAAGAATGTGCATTTTWAATTTAAAAGTGAATTTGTATTATCAAAGGACAATGAGTTTTATTCCAGCACTAACCAACTGCTGAATCTCATGAATAAATTAGTCTAATTTACTTTGTTTTTGACAAATTCTCACTGGATTGTGAGATAATAGAATGCTTGAATTAAATTTGTCTTGTAAAGTGAGCCTGAACATTTATTTTAAGCTATTTTTTGTTTTTACATCTTTTTTCTCCTCATCTTTTTATCTTGCCTGAGGCATTTCTTGCTGCTGTTTAGGCATAAGCTAGGGTTCATTTATTTTATGATTGAAGATAAAGCACTAAAAGATTAACAGCTAYGGTTTATGCTCTTAGTCTTTCCCAGTTGCTCAACACAGCTTCCATTGAAACATCTATAAATTTATGTTGGAATAGGATAGTGTGGAAAGGAAAGAAGAATGAAATTGAACCTTACTTGGTTCCTCACTGTATCTTCCATTTCAGCCTCTTTCTATTACCTAGACCTGTCACATGCCAAATGGACAGTATCTCTTGTTTTTCCTGAGCCTGCTGTCTGTTCTGATTGTCATTCTTGCCTGAAGGAGAGTTTGCCCAGGTCCCTTTGCCTCCACTGCAGCTGCAGAGCGCTGAGCAGTCCCAGCCCTGTGTGCCATATGTGCCCAGGTCTGTGTCTGAGCACGTGCTCAGCAGATCTACGTGCGGATAGCTTGGGAGTGAGCTGGGAGCTCCATGTGTGCTTTGCCTTATCTTGCAGTAGATCTGATMTATCCCAAGTACAATGTATTAAATATGGGCTGCATGAATAGTGTGGCACAGGTGCACGTTTCCCAAAGATCTATTTTTCTCTGGAAAATCAAGAGTATGAATATGAGAGCCAAACACTTACTGAGCTGTGGTGTGAAAGAGGCATACTGTGTATTGATACAATTAGGGGCATTTCCAAACAGCAGCAGCTTAGGAGTTGAACTCAGGCCATCACAGAGATTCAGGAGTAAAAGGAGAGGTCAATGTTTGTGAGGAGCTTGGGAGCCAGTTTGGAGAACTGTCATGTCTTCCATTCTTAGAATATGTGGAGAGGTACTCGTGTCTCCTTTGTTACTATTTTAATAGAGAGAGTCGAGTTGGAGAAGAGCATGTTTTACATGCTTTTCTGCAAAAGTGGAAAAGTCAAGAGGTAAAGGTATGGTTTGGCAAAAAAAAAACCAAAATAATTACCTTTCAGTTGGTTATATGGCTTTTGTCTAGTACTGTCCCAATGTCTTGGGCATTTGGACTATAAACTCCTCATGGAAGAGAGTTTGTACAGAATGGTACTAAGGGCAGTATTGCTTTCAGTATATGGAAAACAGGACTTTGTAAAATAAAAAAAAAGCAGAGCTGCAGATAAAGCGCCTTGTTTTTCTCTGAGCAGTGATTGCTTTCCACTTATGGAAAATAATGAAAACTAGTTCATTTAAGCTGGATCTATCATAGACTGAAATATTTCTTGGGAAGGAAAATGCCCAGAAGTAACTAAATATTACCTCAATTTCTTTTCTCACACAGGACACTTTYCATAGAAGATTTTGGCATTTGCTGGATTTCTTTCCCTTTCAGCTTCTCTGTTTTTTTTTTAATTTGGTGACACAGGTCCAAGCATTTCCACCTTCAAAACAYAGTTGCTGTTTTTTAATGCACAATTCCATCTGTCCAAGACAAACMCATCTAGTATGTTGACTTGCAGACCATATCCAGTGCTGCACTAGTTTTTTATTTATTTTATTTTACTTTACTTGTTTGAGGATTTGGATGTAGAAAARGAATCTGGAATAGAAGAAAATCAGGAGTATTTTATGACATACATTTCTTAGGAGAATTWGATATAATAAAAAAGCATTTTCAGTCAGCTAAAACCTCGAAGTCAGCTCTGAAGAGATATGACATTTACAATAAGAGATGGCTAGCAATTGGAAGCTGTAGATCTTTGAATAAAATTGAATCTATGAYAGGAATTCAAGTCTGAATTATGGCTTTTAAAGTACACTTCTAGTGATGGTGGACGGATCTGGGTTTTGTTATGACATTTATTTTTCCTATATTTTGGCTGTCTTTGCTTTTTAAGATGCTTTTCTTAGCCTGTRAGTACCTTTCATGTCTGCCTGAGATGCTAAATTTAATCTTTTTTCAGATAAATGGCATTGTTGGCAGTTTCATTATGCTTGACTGGTGTGATTTTTTTAGCTGACTAGGATGCAACCTGCAAATCCAAGTCTATTTTGTGRAACTCTGGTTAACTGCAGTCTCAAATTTGTATTCTATTGCTCCTTCTAAACTACACTCTTATTTAATTTATAGGCATATAGTGTTGACTGGAGCCAAACTAGAGGAGAGCAGCTAGTGGTATCTGGTTCATGGGATCAAACAGCCAAGCTGGTATGTTGGTTTTCTGCTGAAGGTGAAAAATGTGATTTCTTTTGGATCTGATAGTCCTTTGTGTTAAGAGACAGCATGGATGCACTTTTGCTCTTTATTTTTACCCTGAGGCTGAAATTCTGCTTTGACTGACATGTTGCTTAAACTCTCAGTTGATATCCATTTAAGCCTACAAATGCTTTAAGAAGTTCATTTAGTCCTTTCTGTATGTATGAAGTTTTTTTTTTTCAATGTGTAAAACCCTTTATTATTGAATGTGTATCTGAACAATTTTCCTTTTTCCTTCATTTAGTGGGATCCAGCTGTGGGGAAGTCATTATGCACTTTTAAAGGCCATGAAGGGGTCATTTACAGCACTATATGGTCTCCACACATCCCAGGTTGTTTTGCATCTGCCTCAGGTACGTGTGATGGTAAAGAGGTTCTCAGGACCAAGCCCCAAAGCCACCTTCTATGTTATTGGATTAGTTCTTCACTTTGTCCAGCAGGTGGTAGTGTGTATCACACACACTTGTTTCRTAAAACAGGAACAAGGAAAGGTAAATGTATTGCTGCAGCTGGATTTGTAGGTTCWGTTACAAGCAGTAGATCATCCTCTTGGCCATTTAAACAGGATCAGCAGTGTTCTAGCAGTGACCTTGTGGTAATTTTTTTCTGTTATTTTATATAGCTTTCTTCCTTTCATCTCACTCTTGTTACTGACCTCCAAATTGTGTCATATGATTTGTTTTGTATTTTGGCCTATGTTTTTGTTCAAATTATCTCAAGTGTCAGTAGACTATTAACTCTGTGAGAAATATAGTCAGTTCCCACTGAGCTTTTTTAAGTACTTTTGTAGATCTCTGTGCCTTGTTCTCCAGGAAAGGAGAATAATCAATTTTACTTTCCTGCTTTGCCCGKTTCTATGAGTCTTGCTGGTTAATAGAATCATAATTGAGTTGGGTGTACCCAGAGGCAAAGAGAGGTGAGGTGGCAGTGTTTTTCAAGCACTGCTTCTGCTTCAGAGGCACAAGGAGAGCTCTGGAGTGATACCTGGARCCCAGCTGATGACTAAGTGCTGAGGTGTGCTGTGAGCCACCGAGTTTGCCTGGGAAATAGAAGGGCTGTAAGACACTGTCTTAATACAAATATTGATAGATTAATTCTGGTGGCCTAAATTTCTCTTAATTTTAAATCTGTTGTACTTCTATAGTGATTTAAATAGAAATTGTCTGGCTCTTAAGATGGTAAGCTCGTGTTACTATATTTTCCTGTTACTGAAGTTAGGCAGTATGTACACACAGATACTGGTCTTCCCTATTCTGTGGAAAGTCAGATGARAAAGAACATGTGGCTTTCAAAAAATTTCAGTCTGCCTATTTCCATGAAATTTCAGTCTGGTTATTTCCATCTGATTCTGCCTGCAGAGTTTAGCTAGAATGATGAACAAGTAACATTTATTTGTTTTATCATAGTAGTGCTTGCAAGCCAAATGTTGCAGCACAGACTTTTCTACATTATGTGGTGGATACCTTTGAATGRTATGTGAATGCAGATGTGCAGAAATTTACAGGATTGAGCCCTGTACACTGTATGAACAGTTCTACTGATAAGCAGTTATCTATATACTGCAAAATACTAGCTAAGTACCATTTGGTCAAATTTAAGTGCTTAGTATTTTTTGCAAATTCTAAAATTTCTGGCATTCTAGATGAACAAAAGGGCTTTGATACAGCTAATTGTTTCAAATTTGAACCTCTAGGACATGAAGCCAAACTCTCTTGTAATACATTGCCACTTGAACAATTTTGGGAAACACTGATTGTTAGATGCTGTTACGTCATGGTACTTAAATTGGATACAACAGTTGATCGGTTCTTTGTGTGACTTAGTGGGTGCAGCTGTTGGAAGTTTTGACTAAAACCCTACAGAGTTCCTATTCTTTTGTGAATTTTTACTTTGATTCTTGAAAGGGGCTAATATGCTAATGGAGCCTAAAGCTAATTGCAGTCAGTCCTCACTGACTGAAGGAAAAACARCACACACAAAAGACAAATTTTTCTTTTCTAAGTACTGCTCAGGTGTGAAATAAAAATCTGCTATCAGTACATTGATAGTGTAATGGTGGGTATAAAATCATTAGGTAAGAGAAAAAGAAGTGAATTTTCTTACTGCTCCCAAAAGAAAACATCTGGTGTGCTTCTAGATGAAATAACATAGAAATCATGACATRCTGATATGGAAAAGGTTTCTGTGTTTGCATTGTTTACATTGAAATTTTTCTGTTTTGATTGGATTACTTCACTTATGACTTGGGAGTMATTTCTTTGGTCAGCAGGACTGTGGATGATAGAAGGATTCATAACCCTMTAGCTCTGTGTATAAGTGCCATTTCCTTATTGTAAAAAAGGTGTGTCACACAGTTAATGTTGGGAGAGTTTACTGTTTAGTGCTCAATGACATTCTACTCTGTCAGTCAAGATACATGATGAAAGTAAAGTAGAACTGTTCAAGGAGGCTGGTTGTCCTTGTTTAAAACTTGTTCTGATCTGCATACTCTATAAGGRTGACAGAAAATCATGGGACAGAAAGCTAAATTTTACTGATGATTCATCTTCTATTGAGCTAAAGTTGGAGCTGGAAAGAAACTTGAATCTCAATGGGATAGTACTGTGTCAGATTTAGAGCTGTTCCCTTCTTTGGGTTGTACATCCTGCAGTTTTGTGGTCTCTTATTTTGCAACTTTTTGTTGTCTTGAAAATTAGTAACTGAAAATGTGTCTGGAGGGRAAGTTTTTGTACTTCTTTTCATATCTCTTGGTATTTTTTTTACTTTTTAAAACAGTTTTTTTTGGATGTGGTTGTTGAAGGTTACTGAARCATTCCCTTGTTGAAGTTTGTATTACTTTGGTATTGTAGGCTGTCTGTGTTTGTATGTGTCTTTTCTTTCTCTGTTTGGCCCCACCTGTCCCCTTTCTCTCATTTCACCTAAACATACCTATCCACAGCCATGTATTTACTGATAGCTTAATAGTATTAAGTCATAATGCTTGAGAAAGGAACTGTTGCATGTTGCAGCATCTTAAATTTTGCATGTATTAGTAAAATAGGTTTACAATATATTGTAAACCATAGATTGGAAAAAATATAGGTCTTCAAATATTCCTGATTAAACTAAATATAAGTGAAGCAATGTACTCTTTTTTTTTTCTTTTGAAGTAAGCAAGTGGAAAGAAGGTTTAAAAACATTTTGTATGCTGCACCCCTGCCATTTTTCTGCCTTTATTTGAATCCCCATAGAACACAGCAGAAGTTTAATTTCCATGTAACTAATTAGTTTGTGAATACCGAAAACAGAAAACGAAGCAGAATTGCAAGCCACAGTAAAATAGCTGCTCAGAAGGATCCACTTATGCCTGAAGCTAATATTTGATTTTGATGTATGGCTCTTTCTCAAACTATTATGAGACTAGAAAAAGAATACAAGTGAAGAAAATGGGAAACCTGCAAGGACAATATAAAGCAATTGAAAAAGAATTTGATACTAGGTATAGCTTTTTTGCTTCATTAAGTCTCCATTCTGAATAAGAAAATTTAATATAAGAAAAAACTGAATATAAGAAAATTGAGCTTGTCTGCACTGGACAATAAAATGCAATTGAATTGCAAAAGATATATGTGTCTGATGCTTCAGTTAAATTAGGTTTTATTCAGCATCTAATAAACTTCCATTTAACATTTACAGGGATGTGTGAGGTACTTTACAATGCTGTTATCTTAATGTACAATCATTTGTACTCTCAAAAAGAAAGTAAATGGCCAATCCTTTTTTTTTTTTAATTGAGACTTAATAGTAAAAGAGAAAACTGTAAATTCTGTATATGTAAATAAGCTCTGTTGTGATGTCAGTAACAATTTCTGAGCAGATAAGCAGGATGTCCAGRTGTACGTGCAGCACCAAACCAGATCCCTGGTAAATGTCGGCCTTATGCTGGAAACACACTGATGTGGAAAATGTCATCAAAGAAGTGACATGAATGTTTAACAGCATCTCCATGGCTAAAGGGGTTTTGTGAGTCATTATATCACTTGCCTAGTAGATTTTTTTATGTTTGTAWCCCAGAGAGCAAATTTGTGAGAACGCACGCAACAGTAATATTTAGTCAAATGTTAATCAATTCTAAATGATTCTCCATGACTGCAGAGCAGTGAGCCTTACTGAGTCCAGTGGTTTATAAAGAAAGCATCCTGGGTTTATTGTCCTTTAAGAGTAGAAAGTATTTAATGAGTACCATTTTACCTTTGCATAAGTGCCGTTTTCTTCTATACAGATACAACACTGACAAATGAAAATATGAATGACTTAGAATGACTGATAGCTATTTTCTTAAATACGGGGGTCTCAGTTTTAATGCTGCTTTCTTTTTTAAATCACTCCTTTACTGATCAGGGGAAGTACAAAATTTTAATAACATCTTAACTCCTGAATAAGAGAAAGAAATTTTTTTGCAACCTGCCTGACAATGTCTGTATTCATCAGAATTTAGATCTATTCATTGTATTCTTTGCTCAAAGACTTATTGTGCAGACTGAAAGCTCAGGACAAGAAAAAATCTTGTACCGCAACAAGGTGTGATAATTTCTAATAAATTTTTATTATGTTGACAAAAGTGTTGGATGGCTGTAACTTTGCTGCTTTACAAGTGAATTCATAAATCCATGTCCCACTCTCGTAAGCCCTTGCACTGAATGCTAGACTTCAGTGCTAAAATTGAAAAACATTGTTTCTGTGATATTTTGTTTTATTGCCAGCCCTGACTTAGTGAGTCACCTTTTAAAAAGCCTCTTCTTGGTTGCTGGTCTGTTGGTGATAAATGTATGTAGTTAAGGGKTTGTCAAGCTATAGTTTCAGAAATCAGGCTGGCATGTAGTCTTGGCACACCTTCCTGTGCTTGGTATTCAAATTGTAAAAAAAAAAAGAGAATAGCTTGGAGTGCARCTTCTCAGTACAGGTGTTTTTCGTGTTCCTGGTCCAAAATTTGGGGTTGTCAGCTCACATTCTTGCATCAGAAGTAGCACAAGGCAAAAGAAGAAGCTGTTGGAGAATAGGGCTTGCAGACAAGTAATTCCAAAGGTGTTTATGTTTCTACAGGTTCCCAAAAAATGGAAGAAATTATCTGCTGTTTGGCTGTGACAGTGGTTTCGCATGAGTTCCAAAGCATTTTTTTTGCTAGAGGTTTATATTCCATCAGTTTGTGTGTGGTRTGGGTCCTCTTTTTGTTTCTTATGACTCCTGGTTATTTTCTTGTTTAATGTGTTAGAAGAAATGCCATAGTGAACAAGGGGTTCAAGGCTTTGCAAAATTTTGGTAATTTTTGGAATCCAAACCCTCAAGGGATAATGGAATAAGGTGYTTCAATTTA